CGGTTGCATCTGCAAGGCGAAGAAAGTTCTCCATACTGGTCGTTGTTGTAAGTTTGAAATGCCACTGATTGCAAAAGAGGGCAAATTAATATATTTATTAACAGACGCCTACTGAAAAAAACTCAGTACCTGTTCATGTGTGAGTATACCAGATTAGTAGTCAGTCGACATTTCAATTTGGACCGGTAAAAAATTTGCTGCATGTTCAAGGTCCCCTAGTTCCTATAGTTTGCACCGAGAAAGCACTTGCTGCTTGTCGAAATTACAGTCTGCAATAAGTTTCATTGAAGCAAAAATTTGTTAATATTTTCAGCCTGCCCAGAACAAAAGGTTTGGGCGTCCCCCTGCTCGCAAGAATTCCGGACTGTACGAGTTGTCTTCTACAAACTACTCAATCAGACATGTGTTCGGTTCACAAAGGCCCTTCGACAGCGCTGTGCCTGTCCGCAACCCATTCGCCGGCTATATTGCGACGGCGAGGGTCGTTGGGTCAAGTGCCTTACCGAGTTCCTATTCAACAATGAAGCTAAAACCTGTCGAATATCAAAGCAGTGTGTGCGTTGGACACCCGTCTGTCCTCCCAGAAGACGCATCACGCTGGCTTCTTGCACCGAAAGTACAAACTTCATGCAGACCCTCCAAACAGTCGAGTTCTCACTGGATCAGCCGACATGCCGATGTCGCGTTCGCAAGCAGGCTCCGTGGAGAGAATTTTGCCGTAAGTTGAGCTTTACTCTTCGTGGGCATATCTGCTGATCTAAAACATAACTGCTGTTATAACGACGTGTTCAGCGTCGTTAGTGTTATAACGATGACATCTAACGTGTGTCACCGTTGAATTACGCCCTGTTGAAATCCACAAGGAAGAACACAACAAGGGACATAATTCTGGAATCCACCTGGAGGAGGGTTTATTGTGTACAAAACCCGGAGGAGCTGTCTTGGGTAGCTGTCGTCGCTGCTGGGTTGATCTCCAGCGTCCTCACTGTCCGGTGTGGCTGCAACTCTTTGTGTCCCGCCTCGGGGCGAGCCCGGCATTG